AACACCCGCCGATGATGAGACAAACGTATACATATGGGGTCCTCCACCCGTCAGGGGCATGCGCGCTATCCGTAATGGCAAAAACAGTCAATACCAACCCCGGAACGATAAGCGCCGCACCCATATAATCCATCTTGACACCTTGCTTCCGAGTCTCCGCCGTATCGGACGGGATGGCCAAAAACGAAGAAACCCGTCGTGATAGCTGCAAGAATCGCACCGATCCAAAAATACCATCCCCAAGAAAAAAAACTGCGCTGAGACCCCGGAGCAAAAGATCCCAATAAAAAACCCAACAACCGCACAGGTCCCGTAAATGCTAAATACCATATTTTTCCTCGGGCCTGGTCTGTATACTTTTGCAAGCAGCATCATACTCGAAGGAAGATAAGCAGCTGGGCCGATTCCTTGCAGCGTCCGGCAAAAGATCAACATCAATCGGTTCCGCGAGAACCCGGCAACGACAGACCAGACAAATAGCCATGCCATGCCAAAAACGTATACCGGGTAGCCGCCAATCATATCAGAAATTCGCCCAAAAATCAGCAACGTCGCGGCTACCACGAGTGAAAATGCACTTGCAGGCCAGACTGCGGAGGATTCGGCAATGTTCAACTCCTCGACTAGAGATGGCAGCACTACATTGAAACCGGAGATGAAATACTCCTAATAGATAGGAGAGGGTGTTTAGTAGGTCTTCAGCGCAAATGGTACCCGCACGCCACTATACGTACACACTGAACAATCCAAATGCTCAAAGTAATATGGAAAGAAATGAAAGAAAGAAGGAGAATCTTACCGCAAGGACTTGAGACATGGAAATCGAAAACACAAACGCGATCTCAGTCCAAGCATTTTTAAATGAACTTGGACGCTCCCTGCCCAATCGTTCGATATCACGCTCTGACAGCAGCTCGACCTGTGCTGGTTGTTGTCCACGAGGAACAGATATGCCAGCAGTGGCTTCCGTAGCGGCGGGAGTTTTACGGGCCTCAGAATTGATGGCAGGGGTCTTTTCGTTCCGCTCGTTCCAATGGCATTCCAGTTTTTTCCTCTCGGGATGCCGTGCGATGTCCGATTCCACGGTTGTCGAGTTTCCGTGAAGAATGGGAGCGTCTGTATCTGATATTGCCATGATTATCGGAATAATTATAAAATAATATATAGAGGCATCTATCACATATGAACAATACAACAATATTGACAAATTGAATAGCGATAAAACTTGTATGCGCAATGGTCAGATGCTCGACTAAAGAAGATTATGTGCTAGAAAGCACTCCATAGGATGCAAGAGACATGCAGGATTGAAGCTGTTAGGAAAAGTTTGGTGGCAAATAACGCCTCCTGCAGGAGGAGCGCTCTGGAGATGCGGAATCTTGAGGGAATTGTGGAAGAAAAAGCCATGTCAATGGATTGCAAAGCAGCGATCCGCTTGGATTTCTTAGACGATGTCAAAACCAGCCAGCAGGAGTCATTCTTCCTCTAGCAGCAGCAAGGATTGGAAGTAGACCACATATTTTCCCCTTCGGTTGGTTGTTAGCTCGATCATCAAGTGGGGGTGGAGACAAAGGCGAGAATCGACAGGTCTGAAGCCCAATAAGGATCAGAACTCCTCCTGTAGGTTCCGATTCAGACATGTTATCATTTGTATTTAATATTTTGTACCTTGGAACTGCATTCAATTCTAATGTATCGTGCGCCTGTGTCGGTGAAGTCCAGGATTTGGATAAGGCGGTCATGGAATAACTGACGGGCCGAATACTCCTGAATGGAACCAACAACCGAGGTACATCTGTATACGGAGGATGATATATGAAGACTTTTTTTTTTTTTTTTTTTTTTTTCTACTACATGCCTTCATGCTGACCTGGGCATCCATTCCCTATGTACGAAGGAACCTGGAGTGACGATATATCCATTGAGGTGGGATGGTTGATTATACAAAAGAAAATGAGATTGCAATTGGAACTCAGATCAACACTGATGAGTGACCAAGATTGAGTGCGTATCTCGTTGTCATGAGCAGTTGAGATGCGATACGCAGTAGTGCATAACTGCCAAAAGCGAGGTAAAAGGGACAGATAGATAGCCTTGAGTAACGAGTAGGGAGCCCAATGATTACAGTCACAGAATTATCAATACTTGCAAGAAAAGGAAACGGTCATCAATGAGCTAACTACATAGGCTACTTATTGTGAATGTCTATCCATAGCCAGTTAACACCAGCAATTAAAACAAGGTATAACATATATTCACGTATCTGCTGTCCCGAGAATAGAAATCCATGATCCGGCATAATAATAAAAAGGACGAACCATTAAAAGAGTCCTGGAGGATGTTGCATCTCACGTCCCAAGGATCCCCACTTTTCAGCTTCAGCGACCACGCCTTCCCGCTCTATTATTTGAGCCTAATCCCGATGAACTTGCACCACCTGCTCCTCCCCGCCCTCTCTGGGTGGTCGGCCTGGCAAGAGTGTATCTGGAGAAGAAAGAGATTAGAACAGGCAAGGAGCAAAGATATGTCACAACAAAGAAAGAAAAACGTACTTAGCAAATGCTCTCGAAAGAGCTTTTTTGCAGCTGACTTTCTGGCTGCTGATGAATGAGTCGACCGTCACGGCAATGGCGCGGTCGATGTCTTGGGCGCTGCAATAATCCGATAACCGCATTTTGCAGAATGCTTCCGCAATCCGCATTATGGCCTCGAGATGGCGTACCTGTTTACTGTGTCGTTAGTGTCGAATTTCAACTGTCAGAGAGTGTGGCAGGCGTTGGTGGGAAACCACGCCAAGAAAACAATAAAAGCAGAGAGCAAGCCTACCGTGATTGGATATGCCCCCGTAGCTAAGCTTTCTCTTCTCATATCTGCAAAGAGACGTGCAACTTTGTCCTGGTCAATTTGGTACAATTTCGGTCGGCATCGTTCTTTCGCATATAAAATATATTTCCGGAGAAGCTCTTGTGGTATCTGCTCTACAGCTCCGGCGGCTGAAGCTCCTGGTTGAGTTCCGTCCATTTCTTCGTCTTGATCTTCATCAGATACTTGCTGTGGAACACGGTTTCCAAACTCGTAGGTTTGAGGTCTGGGTCGGTTGGCTCTAGAATGTGAGTCGACAACGAATTTTGCCAATCGCGCGTCTTCATCTGGATTCACCGTGTCTCGAACCACACAAAGGATGTCAAAACGCGAAAGAATAGGCTCTGTCAGCTCGACGTTATGGGAGAATGGAATGGTTCCATTATATCTGCCTCCAATGGGGTTGGCAGCAGCGACAATAGCGCAACGAGCCTGGAGTGACGTGACAATACCGGCCTTAGATATCGAAATTGTCTGTTGTTCCATAGCCTCATGGATGGACGTGCGGTCTTGGTCATTCATCTTATCAAATTCGTCGATCAGACATGTACCTCGATCAGCCAACACCAATGCTCCACCCTCGAGTGTCCATTCGCTAGTCGAGGGGTCGCGACGCACGCTGGCTGTGAGACCCACAGCGCTGGCACCCTGACCCGTTGCAAAAACAGCTCTGTGTGCAGTCTTTTCAACGTACTTCAATACTTGAGATTTGGCCGTACCAGGATCACCAAGGAGAAGTACGTTAATATCGCCACGGATGGACATTTTGCCTTGCGCCTCCTTGCTCACACCGCCGAAGAGAGAAAGCGCTATAGCGGTTTTAACGTCTTCATGACCATAAATACTTGGCGCCATAGATGCTATAAGCCTATCCACGATCTGCGGGTCTCTAGACAACGCTCGGATTTGCCGCTCGTCCTCTTCAGTGAGATGGAAACCCGCGAGTTGGTCGTGTGATTTGACGAGATGATTAGCCTCCAAAATTGTTGCAAACACCGGGAAGCCATTTTTGTTGTTCAACTGCCCATCATAGTGATTGCGATAAATGCCGATAATTTCGACTTCATCTCCTGGTTTCGCAGAGTCAATAAGGTCAGCGAGTAGAATAACCTCCCTGTGTCGTGGTAGCCGACCCGCTGGGACCGTCCCGGGGGATTCTTGCAAGGTTAACTTTTGGTAGTTGCGGTATTCAGTTTTCTCAGAGTTTAGTGTGAAAGGACCCCGGCCCTGGCAGTTTTGACAGAAGGAAATTTTGACTTCCGCGTTTGACTCCTGCTGAAAAGGTCCCAAAGTAACACCACATTTTGTGCAGTTGAACATGACATACTTCAGTTGGGGGAAGACACCAGTTCTCCTGGTGACAACTCCACTGACACCGACAAGACAGTTGAGGTGACTTTGACGAAGTTGCCGAAGTGTATACCTAAACGGGAGGTTGGTGATACGAACATGGATGTCGTTATGAATCCGGTGATAGTCTGGATAATGAAGCAGAGTCACTTCCATCGCGGCTTGGTCAAAAATTTTCAAAACCTCCGCAGGAGCATGAGCGAGGAAGTAGGCTAAAATTGCTTTAGAGTCACATAAATGGGCGTACGAAACCTCTAGGGACTCTGCATTGATTTCTCCAAGGTTTCGAATACGAGTTCCATAAACGGAAGTACCATCCTTATCCGTAAATTCGGTTAAGAAAGCCTTAAATTCGCGATAAATAGACCTATGGGCAGAGGGCTGAGTAACCCACTCTGTGACGTTGGCCGCTTTAATCTCGGCCAAAGCCTCGAGTGTCATTTCTTCGTCCATAATGTCCATGTCCATTTCATCGACCTCCTCATCGTAGTGATGTCGTCGCCTACGAGGCTGTCTAGTGAGATCGATATTTCCATCGTCATCATCGTCCTGTAAAAATGCTGGGGGTACGCGACGTCGTCGAGCGAGTTCTCGATCACGCCTATTTAATCTCGCTTCAAGTTGGCGTCTAGTGGCCAGATCCAGTTCTTCATAATCCCCAGTGTCGTCGATATCGTCTCCTTCATATGCCTCAGGGTCGCGTGGTCTGTAATCCCGCTCAAAAGTGTCCGCGAAAAGATCAATCCCATCCTCATCCTCCGCCATCTCATCGATATCATCTACATCACCGATATATTCTGCCTCTTCATCCAAGTCATTTTCAATGGCGTCATCAAGAGGCAGAATTGGGGGTGAGGAAGGTGGTGCTATCTTCTTTGTTAGCTGTGCGTATTTCGACGCTGGGGAAATCAAGCTTCTCCCACTTACGACTGGAGGGAGGGGGCGCTGAAGAGTTGTCATTGTCTGGCTCACGCGATCTCTTCCGTCTAGTAAGGTTCCCCAGGCCGCGATTCGCCGCTGAGCTGCTTGGATGTAAAGGAGAACTGTTCAAGCTGTTAATGGCAACTTCGGGTGCCGCAAAATCTTCCCAGGAGAGGAATCTGCTCACCTCATGACTAGAATTCGACTCTATGTGGCCTCAGGAAGTCCTGTATATATCTAAAAATGTATTGCGTATCTGAGCTGAAACATGGAATGTTCCCAGAACAAATGGCGTCCTTGTTGTTGAAGATGGGAGCTCAAAGAGGACGGGGACAACGTGGTGGAAATCGCGTGCAAGAACGAAAAAGCAACGCGTTTCGGACGCGTTTCAATTAAGGCCTAAATAGGAAAGGCGCCGAGCGAGGCGCGCCATGCAAACAAAGCAAACACTTTAATGGAATCGCGTGCAATAACCAAGGGAGTTTCGACCTCGGGGTTCGATCCATTCCATCTTATTAATTTGATAGGCCATTAATATCATCCTTTTGTCTTATCCATGGCAATACCTCTCTGTCAGCTCTAACTGCTGAAGTTGTATAGACCATGGATGTGCTCGATTCCCACCCTGCAACAAACGAGACCGCAACCCCGATGGAAGAGCCCAAAAGGCAGCGGAGGGAGAGCTTGGTCTCCAATGACTCGCAAACAGCGTCAGAGTAAGTGGATAACCTCCTGAAAGCCTCTTTTGAGGTATACCGCCGTTCATTGCTTCTTCGATGGTGAGAACAATTGCTCGTCTCTAACACTCCGTTTCCTCCAGCTTTATTAATAGCCAGCTAAGACTCGAGGCCGATGCGCGAGAAGCTCTCCCATATGCAAGTAGCCCAGAAATTTCATCGTTTCATACTCAATCCAGCTAATATGTCCTTTTAGTCTTTTGACTCTTGCACACAGCCTTTGGGTGCGCTCCGTCAAAGTCTCTTCTCCTGTTTGACATGCAACCCCCCACCTTCAGACCTTGAAGCACCATACCAGGCCGCGGGCGTTTGCTATTCATGCTCTATCTCTTGCCATGGCGAACATACGCTCGTTGAGCTATTCAGTAAGCGTAATTTTGTATGCGATTGTGGAACGACACGGTTCTCATCCGCCTCACCCTGTAACCTGCGAATGTCCAACAGAGGAACCAAAGGCGCCCATTCAGAACAGCCTGCGCCGGGTAACAAGTACAACAACAACTTTCGCAACCTGTTCTGTGGATGCGGAGAACTGTATGACCCACACCAGGAGAAAGGAACGATGTTCCAATGTCTTGGCCTAGGAACAATTGAAAACGGAGGTTGCGGTGAAGATTGGTATCATCCCGAGTGCCTCCTAGGTCTTCCACGTAATTGGGCAGCGGCTGCGAAGAAAGGCTCTCAGATGTAAACAAAGACAAAGAATATCACCAGCAGGAGCAGCAACAGAATGGAAATAATGAAACTACGGTGCTTGCGCCTGCCAACGAGGATGCAGAGGATGAGCCACCCTTACCTCCAGGGTTTCCCGATGAGGACGATTTTGAAACCTTCATTTGCTACAAATGTGTAGATGCAAATCCTTGGATAAAGGTATATGCTGGGACGCCCGGCTTTTTACCTCCAGTTTACAAGCAGGATGTTCCTGTTCAGAATGCGCCAAACGGAAATATCACGCCGGAAACGGCGGGGGTTACTAGCAATAATACGTCCTCAACAAATTCCAAGAAGCGTGAACTTGAAGAAATTTCAGACGACATGCCCAATACAAAAAGGCAGAAGGAGGAACCATCAACAACGCCCACCTCAGGCCCAGAAGAGAAGTTTACCGAACCTTCAAAGCCCGAGCCCAAGCACAAGTCACTCCCAGCGAATGCCCCCGCAGGCACCTTCTCCCTCTTCCTCAAAGAAGATTTCCGCGACTACCTCTGCCATTGCCCTTCTTGTTTCCCCAACTTGATCCCACACCCTCAACTTCGTGAGGAAGAGGAAACATACGAGCCTCCACTCTCCCAGACTGGGGATGACGCCAACGGCGATGGTAGCCATCACACGGGAAGTCTTCTGGACCTCGGGGAGGCAGCACTCAGCAACATGGACCGTGTACGTGCGATTGAAGGAGTTATGGTATATAACCACTTGAAGGACAAGGTGAAGGCTTTCTTAAAGCCATTCGCAGAGAGTGGTCAAGCCGTTGGGGCTGAGGACATTAAAGCGTATTTTGAAAAGCTGAGGGGAGATGATCAGGCGATTAGAGAGGCGGGGGGTGCGGCTTCAGCATCTGGATCGCGCAATGACGGAGACGGTGAAAATGGCAGTGGCGGTGCAAATAGGAGAGAGCAGAGTGGTGAGTTAGCTAAACTCTAGACTTAGGCATTGCGAATATCTAACATATACCGTATAGGTTATTGATTCCATTAATGGAACAGTTACCTGGCTATTTCTAGTTGTATTTTCTATCTCTTGGATGGAGCAATTTATTGCAAATGAATAACGGACACAACAGGTACAATTTACGGCCCTCCTTTCATATGCTCTGGCGGCGTTGGTAATTTATGGATTTAATTCTGATATCGGCTGCGACTGTCTTTGATCTTTTGTCTTTTCTTTTCTTTTCTTTTCTTTTCATATTTTTCAGTTAGCTACTCTCTTCTCGGATGGCAGTAGTAGGGGTGTGTGATTTCAACACCTGCGCCTGAACTTACACTTTAGAAACCTAGATAGCCCTAAGCAATAGAGGATGCAGCAGTCCCACTAAAGGGCTACACAACAAGAAAGGTTTTTTGATAACATGACAGTTGCACGAAGATAACGGAACGTTATTTGCCTTCCCGCAATTGCAAAACCAGCATGAACGAGTTAAATACGCGGAGTAAACGAATGTAATTCGTGGGCACCATAGCCATCTAGAAGCTATAGACTATAGAAAACCATGAGCGGAAGAACAAGAAGCGAGAGACGCAAACACAAACAGAACGTGTCATGACTGCCATAAAGCTCCTTCGCATCCCAACAACTGACCTAACTATTTTGCGCCCCACAAGGACCGGATGTAAGAAAATCGCTCCAACTAAGGGGAAAAAAAAAAAAAAAAACATGCATGTTCGTCCACCCCAACAAGGGTATCGTCATCATTATGCAGCAACCATATCAGAATTCCCAGTTGTCCCTTCCCCCCTCCTCCCTAGCAGGCAAGACATGTGGAATCTCTCGACAAACCCCATTCCTTTACCACCTATATCTGGAACAGTGGTATCTCAGAAAGGAGTCCTCAGCCTGTGAGCCAGTACCAAATAAAATACCCCACGACGGGCGTTCACTTGAAGCACATGCAGCGGCCGATTCTGAATATCCATGGTGACCTGTGCACGCCGTGGCGGTCGACGGTGACGCCGGTGGAGACATGTTTACCCCCGATACGCTTTGAGTAGAAAAAAGGCATGGTTGTTCTTCGTTGTGGTGCTTTTTCTCTCCTTATTTGGTATTCGTGCGTTCGAAGATATGGTGGACGGTGGAATATCTCCCCTATCTGTGGGTTATCTTCCCGAGGCGGACAAGGCGGATTGTTTGATTTTGGCAGTTGGCGGCCTGTGAGGGCCAGGTTCGTGAGAAGGAGGAGGAAAGTGAACTCGACGCTTGTTGATTGTTGAAGTATGGTGAGGGTTTTTTTTGGTTGGAAAATTTCGGGTTCCTGGCGAGTGTTCTTTAATGAGAACAAGTTCCGTGGAAACGGCAAGATTTTAAGCTTCCAAGCTTGATAACAAACCGCTAACTAACGAACAAGTTTGACTTTTTGAGAAGGATTCTTGTTCTATGAAGGCTTTCTCAGAGTGTTAGCAGATGTTCATGAAAGAATAACACTTCTTCAGTTTCGTGAAATGGCTATACCCAAGGCTCATTCAATGCTTGAATGTTCATTCGCCACTCTGTTTCTGGAGAAAACTAACAACTTTCTCAGCCTTTGTGGCGGTTTCTTGCAACGTCACCCAAAACCCAGAACTTGCTTAAGCGAGTGAGCTTGGGGTCAAAATATATTGTCACCCCTCATATCTAATATAGTCTGTGGTTGGTTGTTGGTATGTACCGGAGAGGGCATCTGAGAAGTGCCCACTCAGGCATGTATCCAGGCTTGTTGTTGTCGCATGCTATGCAGCCAGGAGAGAGATATCAAGAGTCCGACCCATCACAATGGGATCATCCCGCACCATCTCTGCTTGTCCATGTTGGAAGAGTGGCGTAAACAAAATATCCGCCACTGGAAAACCCCGTTCCTCGCATCGCAATACTTCTTCGTGTCCGACATATCATGCTATCCTGTGGAAAAATAAAACATTCCCTTCCTCGATTGGCGTCAACCTAGAACGAGACTGGGAAAAATGAATCGGCAAAAAGTGTCCTTGTGAGCTGCTTCAATGAATGGCATTGTTGGGAAGTTTCCTGGCAAAAAAACTCACCAGGATTTTACGATGACGATGATGAATATTATGTTGCTGCCATCATTAAATAGTAACACAACAGGGGCGAGGAAACGGCTTATATATCAAATCACCCTTGTGCGGCTTGGAAAATCTGTGGAATTTGGCTCTGGAGCCATATCCCTGGGATCATGCGATAGTTAATTCAAAATTTATTTCGATAGTTCTTGTGATGATTTTACCTTGGCTGGCCGTAATGCAAGCACAACGTATTTACAGTACATACAATCCTAAAGTCATCTGCTGTGCTCCGGTCCAGTTCGCTGGGTTATATAAATGACAAAAGCCACCTCACAACGGCTCTAAGGTTAAGAAATAAAAGATCCACTCCTTGACAATTGTTGTCTATTAAATTACCAAAAGTGTACATAGGGAAAATAATGTCACTGAACGAGTATGAAAAGGACCAAAACGAAGCAATCCATCGGCTATGGTATCAAAATAGAGCAACGAAAGCATGTACCACCAGCTACGCCCGACCATATAGTGTCCCAACGCCTAATGTGAATCCAAGTTCCTAGTATGGTTCTCCATGCATTTATCCTTCTTTATGTCGCTTTGCCGCTCTGGAAGCTAGGGTATCATCTGGGAGACCACTCTTTTTCGTACCCGGCAAACTGCTTGTCCGAATATCGTTGTCATCCTGGCTAACTCGCCGGTTCGGGTATTTTCCTTCAAATCCTTCAAAGCAATTTGCAGTTACCGGAGAACCGATTGAGAAATATGGGTGTTTCAACGCCTCTTCGGCGGTTAGGCGCTTTTCGGGATCGTATTCTAGAAGACGGGAAAGAAGATCAAATCCTTCTCTTCCAGGAGACCCAGACGGCGATGATGGGTATCCTGCGGCATTTGCACATGCCATGATACCCAGGCTTCCCAAATTGGATGGTTTGTTCACGTGGCTTCCGCCTCGAGCTAAGACTAGATTCTGAAACTGTGCATATTCTGGCATGGCAGTAAGACCAGACCAAGTTTCCTTTTTCGAGTACTCCCAAAATTTCAATGATCTTAAGCATTTGGTTCCGCTGGAATGGCACCGTTTTCTTGCTGTCCATCTTGGCTTCTTCCCCTTTAAATATGGGGCGGAGCGAAAGCAATTCCGCAAATATACAACCCACAGCCCAGAGATCGATAGCAGGCGTATAATGCCGGCTTCCAAGTAACAACTCAGGGGCTCGGTACCAAATTGTCACGACAACTTTATCGCCGGAGAAAAGAGAGTTAAGAGGTTTGTAAAAGAGACGTGCGAGGCCGAGGTCGCCGATTCGAACCGCACCAGTAGATGTAACTAGAATATTTGCAGGTTTGAGATCTCGGTGCAAAACCCAATTACTATGGAGATACAGTAGGCCGTTCAGAAGTTGGAATAATACTGATTTTATCATGGGAGCGGGTATAGGATGTCGTTGAGCTTGTGTATGGTGGTGGATAATTTGCAGGAGATCGTGTTCCGTATATTCAAAGACCATGAAGATACACTTGTCCTCGAGGATTATTTCCTCCAGATGAACAACATTTGCATGTGATAACTCAGAGCATAGTGCGATTTCTCGAATCGCTGACTGAGATAGGCCTGTATATTGAACGATTTCTCCTTCCTTGTCGGGTTTGAATCTATGGATGTCAGCCTCGGAAAACAAACAGGAGTTGTGGACTGCCTATACAAACTTTTTAATCGCAAACTCCCGCTTCTGACTGTTTCTGCCGATTGCCTTATAAACTCGTCCATAGGTGCCACTGCTGATGAACCCAACGATATGGTATTTCTCTCGGATGTGGACTTTACTAGTGTAGCCAATCCCAGGAGATTTTCTTGGTTCCAGCGTATCTACACATGTGAGTCTAGTAAGCATCAATTTAAACAGCAACCAAGGAAAAAAGTATTCAACGGAAGCTGCATCAACTGCCCATGGATGGGGGTACGGCAGGTGAGCTTTTGATATTTAGAATAGAACAGAACTAGCAGGAAATTTTAACTGGAAATAGTGGGTCAAAGAAGCCTAGGTAAGCTAACAAGCACTGACAGCACAAGAACACATATTAAAAGTGAAAATCGAAACGACCTCGATGTCAAAGCCAAGATGAGAGGAAACAGGAATAGGTTAAGTTACCTCGCAAAACGCTGGCTCTCAAAGAGTTCATATCGCGAAAACTGCGTTTTGACATTTTGGGAAGGAAGGAGATTGGCAGTACAGTTTGAAAAATAAGCTGCAGATAGAACAACGTGCGGGAGACAAAACACTTATACAAGTTGTGAAGTGTTTTTACTATGCAAGAAGGAAAGACTGGATATGGAAAGATATAATATGGTATCAAGAAGAAATTTTGCAAGGAGCTGGGTTCTTCTGTGAAAAGCACAAAACCAAAATTTAACTTCAAGGCTGAGAAAGGAATTAAGCGGTAGTCGAAAAACGAGGGCGTTCAACAGAAAAGAATTGCGCACGCAAACAAACGGAGATAAGCGAATCAACATGAAGTGGAGGCAAACGGTAGGTGCTTTAAGTGCAAGCCAAAGAAGGGATTTCCGGAACATTCAAGCAGACCAAAATAAAGAATGAAGGAAACAAAATGAATCACCATTAAAGGCTGCCTGCACGCTCCTCTTCGTGCCCAGCGTGGGATTGCCGTTATTATTATTCAAAGCACCAGCTGATGGTCTGGAAACCTGGGTGGATCTCGCGGACGCTGCATCAGACAACGAGCCTCCGCCGGCGGAGTGCGGCGGATTACTGAGCCCCATTGTGGATTATTTGCCAGCGAGAATCAATTATCAAATCCTCTGACCGTGTCTCCGAGAGACCCGTAGGGGCGGCGGGAGGCTAAGGTTTAGCGGGGTCTCATCTTGCGGAGATATTCAAGATGATTACTGCTACGTAGGCAGCCAGTGCCAGTAGTAAGATGTTAATCGGCGATGGCGAACAGAAATGGGATGGAGCTCGAAGGGATTACTTCCGCCTCGAAAGTCGGTGTTCTTGTGTGATTTCAAATGATTGACGTCGTCAGAGTTGAGATCTTGAACCTCGGACTGGAAATTCGGATGGGTCATGTGACCTGTCTGGGCAGTGAACGAGCTAGCTTCTGATGAGGCTCACTTTTATTTACTAGTTATTGTTTTCTTTTATAAAATGGGAGGAGATTGGCTTGTTTTCCTTTTTCTTCTTCTTATAGAGAATAGAGAGCAATAGTTATAATTACATAGATTGAAGCAGTTGATAATATCAACTCTGGTTTCATCTTGTGCCTATCTTATCCTTGGGGCTAACTAGCTAGCTAGGAGGGCTTACGTCAGTCCTGCCCATCCGCAATCGGTGCTTGTTTCTTGGGCAACGTTGGAATTCGCCTTGGTGGACTTGTTGCTCACTGTCAGTTCGGTCCGGAACTCCATTTTTAATCAGCAGAGGCTTGTTGGTTCATCGACTATGGTTGATTCTTGTTGTTATTTCTCCCCGAAAAGCAGGATTTGGAGACAGCCCTAAGTGGGCCAAATTCTTGACGCGCTTCCTGTTATGATAGCGAACCGTTCGGACACATACAGAGGCTCCTGCGAAAAGATTTAACTTGCGCTAATAATTAGTATTGCTGTTCCATCTCTTAATAAAATAATGAGAAGGATAGGGAGTCACAGGGGGGCTTATAGAGGCCAATCCTTCTTAGCTTGCCCACTAGCTCACTGCCTAAATCCCAGGTGGTACTGCCTGGAGATTCCATATACTAGTAAGGATATTTCAGGGTAAATTCTTAGCGTGGGACAAAACTTTTCGCAGCGGCCTCTGTATTGCCGAGCGATCTGTCAACGGGCTTTTGAGTTTATTTTAAGATGAGATACTTTCATATTCTAATGATAATGAAGTGCCATTACATGAAAGGGACGGAGAACAAGCCATAGCACCAATAATTCTGACCCTCCTTCCGGAAGTTATGGGGATTGGCACTTGGCTTGATAATCGAACTCCAGCCATCAAGCCTCGAAACTAACCCTAAATCTCCTAGGGCTCAGAAAGGACAGTTGTTGTTGAGCTATGACTCCAACTTCTACTTCATGGGTGGTTTGAAGACTAGGGAGAATTAATAATAGTAATACTTTAGAAAAGGGACTAGCATACCTGTCAACAGAGGAGTCGCATTTCCATCCTGTAAATCCTTAATCAATTTAATTGATTTGGATACCGTTGGTACCGAAAAAGGCTCCGGATCTTCAATACTCAGTCCAAATTGATTTTAACTGTTTGAATTCACGATGGACCACGACACCGAAAATACCCCCCTTCTCAGCAATTCCGGTGCTGGCCCTCCTGATGTAAACGAACACACTTATGTTACATTGTCGCGCAACCCAGCTGCAGCAATCTTCCATCGTACGACTGTTGCCTTAACATGGCTTTCTATCGGTCTCTCAGTCTCAACCTTCGCTTTTGTGTTTGCCGTTATGATAATATATCAAATCTGGCATGGCTCCAATTTGAACCCGATAACTAGAGAGAGTTGTGCCTGGTTGATGTTACTGGTAACTACATTGCACCTCTCGAAACATATTTCTGAGAAAAACAATGCGTGACTTGGAAATACTTACCTTTGTTGACCGATTTATCTTTAGGGAATGGCCACGGCTTTGATCAGCTTCCTAAATTTAGTCTGCCTGTATGTTCGCCGGAAAGCAATGCCACTCGTTCTCAACCTGGTTATCGACCCAATTGTTATTTTCTACTCTTTTGGCTGGAGTGTCACTGGCCTAGTTGAAAATTCTCCCTGGTGTGAACCTGAGTGCGATGGTACCAGCAAATGGATCCAGCTTTTGGCCGGTATTGGACTAAGCTTTGCATTGGGATTAGGGTGAATATCCATCCAATCTGATATCCCCTGCGGCGACTCGTACTGGACA